CTCTGCGGTGTAGACGTGGCTCACAGCTTACCACGCATCGACACAGAGAGTTGGCAACTTATGTCCAGCATGGGGCAGCCATGTTTTCCCCCAATTAGGCTTGCCTGATGGGTTCTTACTTCGTTACTTTGCCCGTTGCTCGGAGGTTTCTTCGTTCCCTGGGTTCCCCGGGTTCCTCGGGTTCCCCCGGTTCCCTAGGTTCCTCGCCCCCGGTGCCGCAATGCCAAGCAATGCGAAGAAATGCTAAGCAATTCCAATCAATGCCAAGCAGTGCCAAGCAATGCGAAGCAATGCCAAGCAATGCCAAGTAATGCCAATGCCAAGCAATGCCAAGCAATGCCAAGCAATGCCAAGCAATGCCAAGCAATGTCATGCACTGCCAAGCAATGCCAAGCAATGCCAAGCAACGCCAAGCAACGCCAAGCAATGCCAAGCAATGCCAAGCACTGCGCCCATGCAATAGGAAGCTTTCCCCTAATTGGGGTTGCGCCGGGTTCATTTGGGCTTAGGGGCCGATTCTCACGCAACCGCAGTCAACATTGATAGTAAGAGTGATCGACTTCCCAAGGGTACCTTTGCATCCGTGCCTCTTCGGTCATCTTTGGTCCATCCTCAACCACTTTCGATGGCGAGCCCCGTTCGAGAAGCTTCGGCATGGGCGTCGAAGGCCCCTGCATCCGGGACCAGGGTGTTTCCAAACCAAACGGGTCTTCCCAAACCAAATGTTGCGGAGTCAGACCGCCGGGTATTCCCAAACCAAACCCGGGTCTTCCCAAACCAAACGGGTCTTCCCAAACCAACGCCCCTGGGTCTTCCTAAACCAACGTAGCGGGTCTTCCCAAACCAACCGGGTCTTCCCAAACCAACCCCCAGGTCTTCCTAAACCAACCGGGTCTTCCCAAACCACCTTCCCGGGTCTTCCCAAACCAAATGGGTCTCTACAACTGAGGGTGTTCTCACATTTTTTATTATAGATACTAGAGGGTAGGCCTACCCTAGGCCTACCCCTAGGCCTACCCCCTAGGCTTACCCTAGGCCTACCCTTAGGCCCATCCCCTAGGCCCACCCTAGACCTACCCCTAGGCCTTCCCCTAAGCCTACCCTAGGCCTGCCTCCAGGCCTTCCCCCCAGGCCTACCCTAGGCCTACCCCTAGGCCTACCCCCTAGGCCTTCCCCCCTAGGCCTACCCTGGGCCTGCCCCTGGGTCTACCCCGTAGGCCTACCCTGCCTGCCCGACCCGACCGCTCGTTAGGGTCCGCCCGCCCGACTCGACCCGACCCGCTTGTTTGGGTCCGCCCGACTCGACCCGACCCGGCCCGACCCGCCCGTTAGGGCCCGCCCGCCCGACCCGACCCGACCCGCCCGATAAGGTTCTCGCGTGTGAACTCGATCATGCACCGCACTTTCATGTCCCGCCCGCCCGACCCGACCCGCCCGTTAGGGTCCGCCCGCCCGACCCGACCCGACCCGCCTGTTATGGTCCGCCCGCCCGACCCGACCCGCCCGTTAGGGTTCTCGCGTGTGAGCTCGATCATGCACCACACTTTCATGTCCCGCCCGCCTGACCCGACCCGCCCGTTAGGGCCCGCCCGCCCGACCCGAACCGACCTGCCCGTCGCCGGCGACGTCGTCCTCCTCTTCCTCCTGCTGTTGTTGCTTTTCCCCCTTGCGCCCCCGCGGCGGCGTCGACGACGGCGACGACAGGAGCGGCGACGGCGACGGCGACGGCGGAGGAGGAGGAAGATGGGGGAGGGAGGAGGAGGGCGGGAAGGAGGCGGAGGAGAGGGAGGGAGGGGAATGGGGAGGGAGGAAGAGGGCGAGGGAGGAGGAGGAGGAGGAGGCGGAGGCAGAGGAGGAGGTGGATGGGGGAGGAGGAGGAGGGGAGGGACGAGCGGAGGAGCAGGAGGAGCCGGTGGCAGCGGCGGAGGAGGCTCTGGGCGACTGGGCTCCGGGCGAACGGGCTTCGGGCGAGCGGGCTCCGGGCGAACGGGCCTCCAGGCGAACAGGCTCCAGGCCAACGGGCTTCCAGGCGAACGGGCCTCCGGGCGAACGGGCCTCCGGGCGAACGGGCCTCCGGGCGAACGGGCCTCTGGGTTTTCGGGCCACTGGGCTTCCAGGCTTCTGGGCGAACGGGCTTCCGGGCGAACGGTCTCGCTTCGCCCGATCCGACCCGTCCCGACCCGAATCGTTAGGGTTCTCGCGTGTCCATTCGATGATGCGTCATACTTTGATGTCCCGCCCGCCCGACCCGACCCGCCCGTTAGCGTCCGCCCGACCCAACGCGACCCGACCCGTTAGGGTTCTCGCGTGTCCACTCGATGTCGCATGATACTTTAATGCCCCGCCCGCCCGACTGGACCCGGCAAGTAGGGCTCGCCCGGCCCGACCCGACCCGCCCCGTTAGTGTCCACCCGACCCGACCCGTCTCGACCCGACCCAGTGGGGGTTCTCGCGTGTCCATTCGATGATGCATGACGCTTTGAGGTCCCGCCCGCCTGGCCCGACCCGCCCATTAGGGTGCCTCACCCTTGGGCCTACCTCCTAGGCCTAAGCTAGGCCGCCCCTAGGCTTCCCTTAGCCCTACCCCCTAGAGCTTGCTTTCGTAGGCTTACCCGTAGTCCTACCCCTTAGGCTTACCTTGGGCTTACCCCAAAGCTTATCCCCTAGGCTTGCCTAGGCCTACCCCTAGGCCTTTCCCTTAGGCCTACCGTAGGCCTACCCCCCAGGCCTTCCACCTAGGCTCACCCTAGGCTCACTCCTGGGCCTACTTCCTAGGCATACCCTAGGCTTACCCCTAGGCCTACCCTAGGTCTACCCCTAGGCCTTCCCCCTGTGCTTACCCTAGACCTGCCCCCAGGCCTACCCCCTAGGGCTACCCTAGGCCTACCCTTAGGCCTACCCCGTAGGCCTACCGTAGGCCTACCCTAGGCCTTCCCCCTAGGCCTACCCCTAGGCCTACCTCTAGGCCTACCCCCTAGGCCTACCCTATGCCTACCCCCTAGGACTTCCCCCTAGGCCTACCCTAGGCCTACCCTAGGTCTACCCCCTGGGCCTACCCTATGCCTACCCCTTAGGCCTACCCCCATAGGCCTACCCTACGCCTACCCTTAGGCCTACCCCCTAGGACTTCCCTCTGGGTCTACCCTAGGCCTAGCCCTAGGCCTCCCCCCTAGGGCTAGGGTCGGCCTACCTGTAGCCCTTCCCTCAATCTTTACCCTAAACCCATGCTTAGGCCTTCACTAGGTCTGGCTCTTGGGTAGGGGCCTACCCTAGGTCTACCCTAGGGCGTTGGGTAGGGCCTGCCCTAGGCTACCCTAGGGCCTTGGGTAGGGCCTACCCTAGGCTACCCTAATCCCTTGGGTAGGGCTTAGGGTAGGCTACCCTAGGGCCTTCGGTAGGGCCAGGGCAGGCTTCCCCCCCGGGTTCTATACCCTCAGATCGTTTCTCCGGGTCTTCTCTCGTGGTTCTCGCCTTAGTTTCGCTTTCGTTTTTGTTATCGTTTCCGCTCGTTCTCGCCTTCGCTCTCGCCTTCGTTTCGCTTTCGTTTCGCCTCTGTTCCTGCTTTCGTTCTCCCCTTCGTTTCGCCTTTGTTTCGCTCCGTTTTCGCGCTCGTTATTGTTTTTGTTCTCGCCTTCGTTTCGCCGTAGATTCCGCAATGTTTGCTCGCCTTCGCTTCGCTTTCGTTTCGGTCAAGTTCCGTCCTCATTGCTGTCTTTGTTTTCGCTTTTCTTTCGCCTTCGTTTCGCCTTCGTTTCCGCTCTCGTTCCTCTCTTCGTTCTCGCCGTTGTGTCGCGTTCGTTTTCGTCCTGGTTCTCGCCTTCGTTTCGCCGTCCTTTGCGCCCTCGCTTTCGCCTTCGTTCTCGCCTTCGCTTCACCTTTGTTTAGCTTTCGTTTCCGCCCTTGTTCTCGCCTTCGTTCTCGCCTTCGTTTCGTGTTCGTTTCGCTCTCGATTTCGTTTCGTTTCGCTTCCCTTCGTTGCTCCGCGGGTGCATTCGCTTCCCGGGTCGCGCGGAACGTGGCAGATTACGCAGGAGCACGGCTGAGCACGCAGGCGCACGGCAGACCGAACATATTCGCGGCCGACCAAGCAGAAGCACGGCTGACGATGCAGGGGCACGGCGGAGTACGCAGGAACACGGCTGATCACGAAGGAACAGGGCAGAACACAAAGCAGCACAGAGTACCACCGCAGACCACGCAGCAGCACGGCAGTGCACGCAGGAGCACGGCAGACCAAACCAACTGGATCTTCCCAAACCAAATGGGCCTTCCCAAACCACCCAGGTCTTCCCAAACCACAACGGCCGGGTCTTCCCAAACCAACCGGGTCTTCCCAAACCAAACGGGCCCTCCCAAACCACCCGGGTCTTCCCAAACCACAACGGCCGGGTCTTCCCAAACGAACCGGGTCTTCCCAAACCGAACGGACCTTTCCAAACCACCCGGGTCTTCCCAAACCACAGTGGCCAGGTTTTCCCCAACCAACCGGGTCTTCCCAGACCAAACGGATCTTCCCAAACCAACCGCGTCTTCCCAAACCAACCGCGTCTTCCCGAATCAAGAGGCCCGGGTCTTCCCAAACCAACCGGGTCTTCCCAAACCAACCGGGTCTTCCCAAACCAAACCGGGTCTTCCCAAACCAAGACCTGGGTCACGCGAACCAAAGTTTGGTTTGGGAAGGCCCGTTTGGTTTGGGGAAGACGCCCCTCCCCCCTGCATCCCTATAGCGCATCCGTACTCTCGCCGCGCCGTTTGTTCCGACGTGCGGCCTTGCGTCTTGGGGAGGGCGCCGTGGGCACCGGGGCAAACGCCGCCTCGGACGCGGTGGGCTTGCCGTGGGGGCTTGCCGCGGTGCCAGCGTTGCCTCTCTGGGGCGCGGGGCGCGGGGCCCGCCGTGGGTTTGCCGTGGTGGCGGCTTGGTCCTCTTGGGCGCGCCGAGAACCGCCGGCGCGGCGACCCACCCGTTCTAGCGGCGCTCCTGGCCGCCCAGCGTCTGCCAG